GCGCGGTGCGCGCTCGGACCCGGCGGCGGAGGCGGGGCCGCCCCACGTCCCGCCCTCTTAACCCTCGCAGGGCCGCATCCCACGGGCGAGCGGTCAGTGGCCCCAGGACAGGCACTTGCCACAGTCTGTGGGCACCCCAACTCCGTGCTTCCCCCACGCTCCTTCTGTCCCCTTATGGCCCCCATGAGGGTCCTACCAGCTCTGACCAAGGGGTCTAGGCCGGGAGGATAGACATGCTCCTTTGCTCTGATCTCCTGCTGTTTTGGGATGGACAGCGTCCACCGGGGAGGAAAGCCTGAGATGAGGCTTCGTTTGGTAAAAATTTGACTAACTCTGCGCACCTAGAGAAGCTACAGAATGGACCAACAGCTCTATCCCATTGTTTCTCCTCTCTCCCCTGTATTGGCTGGACAAAGGAAACGACCCCACAAAAAGCCCACCCAGAATCGGGTCAGATGGTGCAGGCCTGTAATCCCAGGTTCTTAAGAGACAGTCTACCTGGGCTGTCTTCAAGTGTATTTAAGGCCAGCTTAGCAACTGAGACCCTACCTCAAAATGAAAACACAAAGTATTTTACAAACACTTCGGGGTTGTGATGCCCTAAACTGTTATTTGAGCAGTAGGGTAGGAGGACTATGAGTTCAAGGTCATCCTTGGCTACTTGGCAAATATGAGACCAGTCTGGGCTACTGAAACCCTGTCTCAAAAAATACAAAACACACACTCCTGAGGTAGAGGCAGGCAGAGCTCAGTGAATTTAAAGCCAACCTAGTCTACATAGTTCCAGGCCAGCCAGGGTTACACAATGAGACCCTGTCTCAAAAACAAAACAACAACAAAACTGTTCCACACACACAAAAACAACAAACTCAGCTGTGCATTAGCTGTGCTGTTCTGCAGGAGGAAGAGGAGAAAGGCCACGCTGCTGCGTTACTGCATAGGTCACCCAACACACCTGGCTAGGCTTACCTGCCCTAACTTGAGGATGCAGCGAGAAGCCACTGTGTGCGCTCAACGGGGAGGTGAGGAGGGTCTGCACTAACTGTCCTGTGGGTAATAACCTCCTCCTCATGCCATCTTCCAAGTGACCTTGCCTAGGGGAGGGAAAGGAGGGCCTGAACGGGCTCACCCAATGCTCGTGGGTCCCGAGTGGACTGTAGTGTTCACCCAGTTTTACCTCCCACATCTCTGAAAAATCCCATGCTTCCACACACCCTTGGAGCCTCCTCCTGTGCTGGATAGCTTTAGTCGTCAACTTTAGTAGAGGGAGCCTCAATTTAGGGAATTGTCTCCATTGGACTGGCCTGTGGTCATGTCTGTGGGGGCATCTTCTTGATTGCTGAGTGATATGGGAGGACCCAACCCACTGAGGGTGGTGCCACCCCTGGGCAGGTGGTCCTGTATTGCATAAGAAAGCAGGCTGAGCACGAACCAGGAGAGCAAGCTGGTGTTCCTCCATGGCCTGTGCTCCAGCTTCTGCTTCCAGGTTCCTGACCCGACTTCCTACCTTGGGCTCCCTCAGTGATAAACTGTGACCCAGGAGATATAAGCCGAATAAACCCTTTCTTTCCCAAGCTGGTATTGGTCAGAGTGTTTTGTCACAGCAATTGAAGGCAAACCAAGATTCCTCCCAACCCTTATCCTGGTCATCCTGAAAAACCCAGGTCAGCACCAGTCTCAGGGACAATACTAGAGCCTGGGGCCAAGGTTAGGAGTTGCCCCCTAACCATGGTGCACCTCATCATTAACTTGGAAAGCCTGGATCCCAATACCAGGCTGGGAAGACCTCAGGCTCAGACTCTTACCACAGCATTGTGCAGGGGGACCAAAAACTCCTCAGGGAAGTAGAAAATGGTAGTGACCTCAGGGACATGCATTATCCTGTCCAGAACTATAAAGGCCCTCAGCCAGCCTGCTTACACGTGTCAGCTGGAATCATGGGCACTTGCAGCCCCTCTACACCTAGGTATACGGCCCAGAAAATGGAGGGGCAACATAATGTTCTGTCTTTGGACAACTGGGTAGTCAATCTGCTAGTCCATTACAGGAAGAAGAGCCAGATGGATGTAGGAAGAGCTATCCACCATGCTGCACAGCTAGCCAGCTGAGTGGAAATCTATACCAGCTGGAGTTCTGCTCCAGTCTGGCTTTGACCATGCCTTGAGCCTATGCTGGGACCGGGAGCTCTCCAGTGGGCTAGTGGCTCACCAGTACTGACCTTTTCCTGGTCAGGGCAGTTCCTGGCCAGCTTCCTAGGGTATGAGGGAAAGTAGCCCTCTCCCTACTGTGTTGGGGCTAGCTATGGAAACCAAGACTCTGTTATCCTGTTTGGATAATTCTATGCACACACAGCATCTTGCTAGTTTGAGACAGAAAGAGGACAAAGACAGGGAAAGGCTGACTCTGTGTGAGGTCTGCCAAGCCACAGCAGGATCAGAGACGGCTGGCAGCAGAAAGCCCAGCTTCCCATCCAAAGGAGCCCCCGCCTCCTCATCCCATGCTGGCCCTCTCCCATCTCTGCAGCTTCCCTCTTGAAGCGGAATACTCAATCCTAATGTAGCACAGTTTTAGAGCTCAGTGCTGATGACGCACTGCAGCCCCGACCACCCACAGCAGTCTTCAAGGATAGTGGGAACTCAGGTTCTGTCAATAACGATGTCCACACTTTTACTCAAAACCTTTGTCACCATCTTTCCACAAGGCCACCCATCAGCACAGACACCACTCTGTATGAAGAGCACAGTGGGGAGGCAGGCTGGACAGGTGGCTCAACTTCTGGTTACAGCCAAATTCCTGGGTAGTCCTGCTGGAAGCTAGAGGAAAAGGAACCTGGTTGCTGGGGCTCTGCCCAGGAAGGGTACCCAGAGAGTGGGTCACAGGTGGGGCAGCTAGATGGAGAAGGAGGACCAGTACAAGTTGGGGCCAAAACATCAGAAGAGGGACTCAGCCCTCCCTATAGGGAAGCAACTTGGCCCTCTGGAGGATGACCTCTGGGGACCCTCTTTGTCATCTGCCCAGGCCCAGGACTGCTGTATACTTTCCTACCTAGCAAGGGAGGCTAGACCAGCCTACAGCAATTACAGAGGTTTGTGGTGGGGGGAGGGGACTTCCAGATGGGATAGTCCTCTGGCCAGGGCCTGAGGTTTGTGACTTGCATTGGTCTGAAGGAATCATAGAGATAAAGGGAGTGACTTTCATGCTGCTATTTTATGAAAAGAGTCAGAAGGCTCCAGAGCATCAGCTGTTCTCTTCTCAAGCCCCTCAGGGACCTAGTCCCACCACTCTGGCAGGACTGGGTGATGGACTTGGTGTCCTGGCATTTGTAGCTCACTTCGGCTCCTGGGAGCCACTTGTTTTGAACATCCGTGCTCTAGTTCCTTTGCCTCTTCCAGATTTCCAGCTGCAACAATTTGTTTTTCTTCCCCAAAATATATGGCTCCCCTACAAGTTTCCCCTAGCAACTTCTGGTTGTGTCCCAGAAGACCAGGGAGAGACAGAGCCCCTAGTACAAAAGGACAGCTGGTCCCCACATCTGCCCTGGGACTTGGTGTTGGGGGAGGGTTGTGGCCTTTGGAGAGCGCCGTTCTCACCAGATATTGGGCTTGGAGCACAGGGCAAACCATCTACCTGAGGCGGAGACAAAGACAGACAGCTCTTCTGGAGTGATTTTCTAGTGTCTGTTCAGGGCATAGGCCTAGGGTACTGAAGGTCCCTCATCCCACTCACTGGGCCAGAGGATGTTGTGGCTCAGGCATTGTGATCTGAACTAGGGGAGGAGGTGGACTTCAGGTTCAGCATGCCCACTCAGTGAGCACCTAGAGTGATACTGCCAAGTGAAGTTGAGGGGATTCAGCCCATGGAGGACCTCAGGCCCAGGGCAAGGCAGTTTTAAGGGCCAGGAGCAGCCTCATCCCTCCAGGGCCATCCGAAAGAGCAGAAAGGACACTGCAGACTGATGTCTGGGGCCCTGGTCCTGCAATGCCAGGCTGTGCACTCAACAATGATCAGCGCTCCTCAGAACTTGGTGATGTCACTGAGTTGTGCCAACTGCAGCCTTTGCCCAGTCTTACATGCCACCCTTTTTTTGGGGAACCCTGCTGCTAAGGTTGTAGTCCTCATGTCCGGATAGCTCTAAGGGGCTCGCGATATGGAAGGACCCCCCCTTCTCAGCAGGGGGCCTCCTGCTCTCTTCCTGACTTACCTGGAAAGTGCTGCCAAGCACGGATGCCTGACCTTATTTGGAACATGACCTTTGGGATAGTTACCTGGAGTAAAAACTACCCCCAGGTTTTTCCTATATGATAATTAGGCATTGCCTGGTACTGCCAATTGTAAATAAAGCGTACTCTGAGCACCTATCAGCTGAAGCATTGGCTGCTGCCTCCACACTATATTTTCCCTGACCCCCACTGAATAAACGGAGCTGTTTCACTGAGTCTGGAGCTGTTTGTATCACTGAACCTGCCTCCCCGGAAGGGCTTTCTTCTGTCAGTGCTCACTGGCCGTCCTGACCCTGTTTGTCGCTTCTGCTCCCTTTGTCCTCGTGGAGCAGTGGCCAACGACCCACAAGGAGAGGGAGCGACCCCACACCCTTTGTATTTTGCCTTCAAGAAACCTGGTGTTGGAACTAGAGAGATGGCTTAGAGGTTAAGAA